GGGCCAAAAAGTTTGCCCACCCTTGCTCTAGTAGCTTCCCAGGTATCAAAGTCAGGCTGACTGGCCTATAATTCCCCAGCTCCTCCTTTTCCCCCTTTTAAAAGTAAATGCATAATGACGAAAAGGGGAAGGGAGCTAAAAATCAATTGCATTAAAAAGGCAGAAGAAAAAGCACAGGGCAGTCTGCAAAATATCCTTGACACCTGTATACAAATGCAAGGAGTATGGGGAACAAGTAGGATTAACTGGAAGTCATGGTATATGAAAATATGACTTAATTAGCATTATGCAGACTTGGTGGGCCAACTCCCATGATTGGAGTACCAGCATTGAGGGATATAACTTGTTCTGATAGGATGGGTGTGGAAAAGGAGGAGGTGTTGCGCTGTACGTCAAGAATACTTGCTCTGAGGTCCAAGAGGAAGTGTGCAACAGACCTACTGAAAGGATGAGGATAAAAAGGGAAAAAGAATAGCAGCAATGTTATGGTGGGGGTCTATTATAATGAGGAAGAAGAAAGAGATGAGTCATTCTACAAGCAGGTAACAAGATTAGCTAATACACATGAGCTAGTATTAATGGGAGATTTTAACTTCCCTGATATCTGTGGGAAGACTATTACAGCAAAACATAATATGTCCTGCAAATTCTTAGCATGTGCAGGGAACAATTTTTGGATCTGATTTTGACCAACAGGGATGAATTGGTCGTGAACGTGAAGGTGGTCAAGAACTTAGGAGGAAGTGATCATGATCTTATAGAAATCAAGACCCTATGGAAAGGAGGACATGAGAACCACAAAACAAGGACACTGGACTTCAGAAAGATGGATTTCAACCAGCTCAGAGAAATAGTAGGCAAGGTCCCATGGAAAATACCAGTTAGGAAGAAAAGATGTAATACTGGAGGCTCAATGACAGTGTCTTTCAAGCGCAGTAAGAATAAGTGGGAGTTGGCCAGTATGGCCAAGGCATCCATGATGGCATGTGCCAATCCTGCCAATTGCCTCAATCTGGCATAATCTCTGCTTGATACACAGGCTCTCTCAGAGTACTCATTAGAAAAAGAAAACCATGGCTCAAGGGAAGAAGTTGAACTTCTGAAAACATTTCCAGATCCTTTTCAGAATACAAATCCAATCCCAGATCCGATAATGAAACAATAGGGAATATAACTAGAGGTCTACTAAAATCGCAGAGAAACAACACAATTTTTGCAGGTTGGTCACGGCATAAATAGCAAATTTCACAGATGTGTAACAGTCTGCAGAAGAGAAGAATTGGGGGGGAGGGGGGGGAGATTTGATAGCTGATTTCAACTACCTGAAAGGGGGTTCCAAAGAGGATGGATCTAGACTGTTTTCAGTGGTAGCAGATGACAGAACAAGGAGTAATGGTCTCAAGTTGCAGTGGGGGAGGTTTAGGTTGGATATTAGGAAAAACTTTTTCACTAGGAGGGTGGTTAAGCACTGGAATGGTTTACCTTGGGAGGTGATGGAATCTCCATCCTTAGAGGTTTTTAAGGCCCAGCTTGACAAAGCCCTGGCTGGGATGATTTAGTTGAGGTTGGTCCTGTTTGCAAGTTATTTGGTGCCTTGGGATCCTTAGCCGGATCTGGCTCAGATGGAGGGGTTAAGAATCTCTGAGCTGGATTGGAGGACTTTGCCATCAAAAATTCAGTTGACTTCGAACAGGAGATCGATGCCGAAGCCTTTACCACTGTTGTCTTCTTGGATCTGTAAATACTCTGAGTTCATTTGGGTCTCTTATCTTTTCCTTCAGATCCCTTCAAAGATTCAGAACCCTTCAAAGATTCCGATCCCAGAGGCTTGGCAGACAAGGTGTTTTTGTAGTAGGAGGGCCTGAGGTCTATTTTGCCTCTCCTTATGGGTCCAATGACTGAACATGTTACAAATAGCACAATGTGAAGAAGAATGTCTGTTCCCATGGCATTTAAGGCACCTGACGTGTGTCAGACACCAGGAAAACTGAGGGACATAATGCACATCTTTGAAAACTTTTAAATCTTCAGCTTTGCCATCAATGCCACTACTGTGCTCTCTGGAAATATTTTAAAACTTCTCTAAAACTTACTCTGAAATCCTAACACTAAAACAATAAGCTATAATGATTAACTAGCCGAACAAGGTATAGAAAGGCACTTTGTTCAAAGCTATGGATCCAAGCGATGCAGAGAGGACACATTCATCTGCTGCTTGAAGGAACAGAGGTGGCAGCTGGCACTATGCCACCTTTTAGAGCCATGGGAACATGTTGGAACACTGAAGGGAGAGGTAGGAGGAACACATGAGCACTCTAACAGGTGCTGCTACCAGAAGATTCCACCATCCAACCTGTACCTGTCGGCACATCCTAAGAGTGGGAATGTGCAGAGGACACAAAAAAGAACATGAGCCTGAGCACCCACATCTGCACCTGTAGTCCCCAGACCTCCCTCCACCTCTGAATTCTTCCATGATTTCTATTCATATGCCTCCCCACTCCTGCCGTGACCCTCATGCCCCCTCATCATCTGCATCTCTCCTCCATAAACAACTTTTTGTGGTTCCTATGGTTTAACTGCAGTAGATCTGTTGTCCTCTGGGCCCTGTACCCATTGTCAAGTCCCTTCCCTTGACCCCTTCCACACCCTTCACCTCTTTCCATCCCCTACTTTCCCCCCATTCCCATAGTTCCACAGTATTCTTCCCAGCAAGTATGGATTGGACGAATGGACTATACGGTGGATAGAAAGCTCCCTAGATCGTCGGCTCAAAGGGTAGTGATCAACGGCTCGATGTCTAGCCGGCAGCCAGTATCAAGCTGAGTGCCCAAGGGGTCTGTCCTGGGGCCGGTTTTGTTCAACATCTTCATTAATGATCTGGGATGACGGGATGGATTGCACCCTCAGCAAGTTCCCGGATGACTCTAAGCTCAAGGGACAGGTAGATATGCCGGAGGATAGGAATAGGGTCCAGAATGACCTAGACAAATTGGAGGATTGACCAAATAAAATCTGATGAGGTTCAACAAGGACAAGTGCAGAGTCCTGCACTTAGGATGGAAGAATCCCATGCACTGCTACAGGCTGGGGACCAACTGGCTAAGCGGCAGTTCTACAGAAAAGGACCTGGGGATTACAGTGGATGAGAAGCTGGATATGAGTCAACACTGTGCCCTTGTTGCCAAGAAGGCTAACGGCATATTGGGCTGCATTAGTAGGAGTATTGCCAGTATTGATCAAGGGAAGTGATTATTCAGCACTGGTGAGGCCACATCTGGAGTATTGCATCCAGTTTTGGGTCCCCCACTACAGAAAGGTTGTGGACAAATTGGAGAGAGTCCAATGGAGGGCAATGAAAATTATTAGGGGGCTGGGGCACATGACTTACGAGGAGAGACTGAGGGAAGTTAGCTTATTTAGTCTGCAGAAGAGAAGAGTGAGGGGGGATCTGATAGCAGCCTTTAACTACCTGAAGCAGGGTTCCAAAGAGGATGGAGCTCAGCTGTTCTCAGTGATGGCAGATCATAGAACAAGGAGCAATGGTCTCAAGTTGCAGTGGGGAAGGTCTAGGTTGGATATTAGGAAAAACTATTTCACTTGGAGGGTGGTGAAGCACTGGAATGGGTTCTCTAGGGAGGCGGTGGAATCTCCATCCTTAGAAGATTTTAAGGCCTGGCTTGACAAAGCCCTGGCTGGGATGATTTAGTTGGGGTTGGTCCTGCTTTGAGCAGGGGGTTGGACTAGATGACCTCCTGAGGTCTCTTCCAACCCTGATCCTCTATGATTCTCAGCAACATTTTACATTCAACCGTTTAATGAATGTGTTTAAGCATTTAAAATATAAGCATCGATAAAAACACTTTAAATGTGTATGGGACAGGAAACTGGGGTGGAGGGAAAAGCTGGGCATTGGTTTAGTTAGTAGGGTTGATGAAGGAAGCTGTGCAGTAAGGAATCTTGTTTCTCAGGCTCTCTAGTTCTGTCCCTAACAAATCCATGGCCAGGCTTTCATTCAAGCTCTCTCCGTGCCTTTTTCCCTCTTCCCCAGCTTCCCACTAAACTGATAAATTTGGCCAGCAGAAGATGCAGTCAGATTGACCTTGTAAGGTCCACTGGACTCAGGATCCTCTGGTGAGCTGCATGACAGTTGCCACAGGCAACAGTGCCTCTTTCATAGAGAAGCTTCACTTCTCATGCGATATTTACATTAAAGCTTTCTACCCCTCTTGCCCCGTGACTTGCACACAGGGCAAAGAAAGGGAGACATCTGCAGGCAAAGCAGTATGAGAAGCATATAGTCCAACTCCGAGAAGGTGGCCCTCTCCCTATCAGGCTGGCAAATCTATAGTTCATACAGGAGACCCAGCCCAGTAAACCTCACTAAATCAAGTCACTCTTAGGCTTCTGTCAGCAAACTTTATCAGATCAGTGGGATGCAGCTGGTGATGTGTTGGGGTTGCAGCAGACACCAATGGGGAGGCGCATCACTTAAGAGATAGACCCTAACCATTCTATGTTAGGAACAGAGACACCTGGGCAGTGGATCCCACCAGGCAGCTATTGAGGACAGAATTCGTCTGTAAGAAATGCACTGTTCTACTAACATCTTTGGGGGGGGGGGAAGGAATCCATTGATTATGATTATGCCAAAGGGTACCTTCTTAATTAAGAATGCTTGGATTCAGTAAGCCTTTAAACAAGTATTCTCTAAATAGCACCGATTTGTATTGCACTCATTAGAAATACGAGGGGAGGGATAGCTCAGTCGTTTGAGCGTTGGCCTGCTAAACCCAGGGTTGGGAGTTCAATCCTTGAGGGGACCATTTAGAGATCTGGGGCAAAAATCTGTCTGGGGATGAGTCCTGCTTTGAGCAGGGGGTTGGACTAGATGACCTCCTGAGGTCCCTTCCACCCTTATATTCTAAATATTCTAAAACAACATTCAAATGAGAATTTACAGAACTGCGACTGATCATCTAAATCACTGTCAAACTCACCTGGTCTTCAGCGTCAGAAACTTTCTGTGTTGTGTTACTTAATGATTCTGATGTGGCTGCCACTGCAGAGTCTGGTGGGATGTTTACACCATTGGTCCCACTGCTGGGAACTGTAATGAAAAATGTTATATGCTGAAGATTTAGAGGGCCATCCAAAAGGATATTTAGCTTTTGAAAATAATATGGAAAATTGCAGTTGGAAAATTTCCAACTCACTAGAGCCCCTAAGAAGCTTTAGAAGTCAGTAGCATTAAGAGTCTAACATCATTCACCTCCTACATTCCCAGAAGGCTAAAAAAAAAAAAATCAATTTGGAACCATTATAAAATGTGTTTATAAAATGTTTAGTGTGAAAATTCTACATACTTAAGTTCGACCTATACTCTTCCTTAGCATTTTATAAGATCAATTTCATAAAGTATGTACACTTAAAGTCTTATAAAATGAGGAAAACTGTTTTACTAAGGCCCCAAATCATGCAATTATGAAGCAAGTACATGACTCAATTACATAATGTGTTTTACTCATAAAGTTAATTATATTTTACACCACCAGACTCCAGGGTCTGTGGCTATGAGACAAACATACTACTCAGGTTCTGGAGACAGACAATGCCTCACAGTTCACCCAAGATGCATTTACTAAACAAACACTGCGTATCTCATTGTGTGTTGTTTCTTATGTGACAGTTGTATTTCACCCTAATGACTTCCAGGTTCCTTTGAAACCGAGTGAAATCTGGAAGACATTAAACAAAGAAAAAGGTCACTCTGAGGAGAAACAAAATTAACCTCAGAGTTACAGGTCTGTTGCCATTTTGGTTCTCTTTCCCAACATCACTATGCATACATGATCAAAATGCATGGACTATTATAGAGCAATAGAGGAATGTGATTTACCCATTTGTGAAAAAGCCTTAGGCTGTGGTGCTTGTAAAACTGCAGGGCGTAGTACACTTCGTTGCTGTTCCTTAGGTTTCTGGCTTGGGAGACCTAAACATGAAAGCAAACTTTTCCAGGACCCTCAAGTACATAAACTGCAAAAATCAACATCATCTCAATCTTCTCCTTCAGTGTTTCTGAGACAATGCAAGATTGAAGTGGCACAAAGTTCAAATTATATCATACTTGTCCCCTGGAAAATACATTTTCCTGCCCCCGCTCCCCCAAATTAATTCAGAAAGGGTAAGATTACTGTTTTATTCCTAGTCTTTAGACAGTTCCTTAATGCATTCTGCATTTTCCCACTAAAAGCTACATTAAAAGATTAAGACAGAATAAAAGCCAGAAAATTCAATTAAGAGTGAAGTGCAGAGAACATGCATTCCCAGCTGTATCTATGAAAGCCATGCACAGCTCCACACACTAGGTCTTATTCTTCCCTTTAAATTCTCTTACAGGTTGTGGAGGGTAAAATACTTTTCATGGCCTGTAAACTGAAACTTATTGAAAACACTAATCTAGCATATTGTTCCATTTAATCCTGACCGGCTCTGGGGGTCAAACTGATCTTTTTGGAATTCTATAAAACAACACAATATGCTACAGCTCTTCCATTCACATCTGGACCTTAAAAAGTCTATTAGGAACCCTCCCACCCAACTGGATCAACTCCAGAAGTCTATGGAAATCCCTGATCAGTTAGGGTTTCTCCTCAGAAGTAAAAAAAGGAACACTTGGTCCATTAAAATGTTATGAAAAAATTGTCACCTTTAACATTAATATTTTACTTGTACTGAAAGAGTAATTTTCCAAAGTATCCAAAAAGATGTCCTGAATTTGGACAGAGGCTAAGGAGACTGCTAGATATACTGACTGCCTCCATCCTCGTACACATGCCCTAATTCTGATTTGTATAAATTGGCTTTTGAGCACTAGGAGAGAGCAAAACAAAACACGAGAAAGCAATAAGCTTTGGTAATATTTTACAAACTCCCATTTGTACTGAGAATGAAACAGTTTAAGTTACAAATCATGGCTTCCACTAACACAGAGCAACAGTTTTATTTCCTTGAACTCCTATGGTAATTGTAACAGCACTGCTCTCTCTGTCACATACTTACATATACAAAACAAATTTCTTAACTTCAGTGTTCATGCAATAGAAGATGATTTTTTAAACAGGAACTAGAATCCTTCCGATTTGGAAGATTAGTTTGAGGAAATTCCTGAATAAAACGAGGTCCTCATTTAATGTGCTTTTCCTCTGCCTCAGAAAATATTAAACCTACCTGCGCTGGGTGCCTGGCCATGGATAAGTGTTGGTGGTTTCAGCCGGAATCCACTGCTCTTTTCCTCTAGAAGTACAATACAAAATATAAGAACATAGGTTCTCAGAGGCATGTAGCCAAAACAGGGGACCAAGCAGAATGCAAAGAATTAAGCACTCTGACAGCAGACAACAGAGAAGGTACTTTCAGAGACAAGCCACAGAGCGCTCACACTTTTCTCAATGTAATGCCCACCAGCAGCAGAAATACCTAATATAAAAAGAAGGGGGCCACCTAGGGATCTGGGGCAAAATCAGTATTTGGTCCTGCTAGTGAAGGCAGGGGGCTGGACTCTATGACCTTTCAGGGTCCCTTCCAATTCTATGAGATAGGTATATCTCCATATATTTAATGCTGCGAAATGGGTTTTTTCCCAAATTGAAGGAAGGTATCTTGTTTTCCTCAGTAAGAAATACAGTCTTAGCTTCCACTGAACAAGACAGTAAAGTTAAATCAAGAGGGCCAAATTATGAGTTGTTGCCAGATATACATTTTAAATTGTATTGTTTTAAGGAAAATATAATCAGATTTTTCGTTGTGTTGTAAATCATGGAGTTCCCGGGCACAAAAAAATAAAAATGGATACTTATTAAGAAACAAACATTTGCTTTAACCAAGTAGCGTGATCAGACTAAAAAGTAAAACTGAAAGCATGGCAAAATCCAACAGCAGCTACCATTAAAGAACATAAGATATTATACTGTTGACGGGATATACTTGAAAGAGATGCAAGCAAGCAGCGTATATCTACTTGGTCTCCCTGAGTGGGGAAAAAAGGAAGGGATATCTGAGGCCCTTTATTATATTGGGTTTAGATGCCTTTAATGAACCAGTCTTAACTGAGGATTATAGAAATAGTTTAAGGGGACAGACCGGTAATGAGGAAGCAATATGGGACAATGTTTGCTCACTATCATAGTGAACAGAACCCCCCCCCCCCCACACACACACACACTTATAATCTATTCACATGTGTCAAGCTTTCCTGTTACAGAAGGCCTATCCTTAGCCATGCCCCCAGCACAGAAGCAACAATACTTGTACAAGTAGCCTGTACAGGACATTTTGCTGTGAATAGTCTTTGGTTTCTGCAGCCCCACTTTGCTGAGATACAGTTTGCTAAAACACTACTATATGAGGAGGAAAAAGATCCTTTTTGAGGGATCAGAAATGGAACTAGAAAATGAAGAACACCGAAGTAATCCAACGAGCATTAGAAGCACAAAAGACTAACAAATTTCCAACACTATGAAGGCAATTACCCCTTTGGTGATGGAAGGCAATGTTTATGTTGAACCAGAATTCTACAGAACACTTGGTTTTCTATAAGCCAATGGGAGAGAGAAGCTCTCCCGCCAACATAGCGCCGTCTACACAGGGAGTTAGGGTCAGTATAACTATGTTGCTCAGAGATGTGGATTTTTCACACCCCTGAGTGACGTAGTTTTACTGCAGGAAGTGTGTAGAGTAGACCTTGCCAAAGATTCGTATTGACTTCAATAGGAATTAGATCAAGCACCTTGAGAAATTACTCTAAAAACCTATCGCAGGGATAACATTTTCTATTAGATTCTATAGGAAGATGTAAAACACCTATGGAAAATTGACTGTGACCTTTACAAGTTTTAACTTGAGTAAAATATTATTCTGTTTTAACTTAGAGTAAAATAATTTGAAGGACCTATCTAAATCCGAGAACATCTAACCAAAGGGAAAAAGACTATTCCTTATACATAATATAAAAATGCTGTATTCATCTTTAAGATAATGTTTATGTATCTCTAAAATCAGGGAGACATGATTCAGAGTTACATGAAAGTGCTCAGTTCTGTTCATTCAAGAATTTGTTTTTATTCTAATGTTGATTTTTAAGTGGTAATGGGTAAACATGGCAAATAGTTAAAATAAAAAAATAAGGGTGATGCAATCACAAATACAGTTTACGTTCATTATTTAAAGTACACTGTAATTTAACTACCGCTAACAAATCGGTAAATCTAGAAATTAGACCTATACGTATTAAGCCTCTTGCGCCTGCCCCCATCCCTCCCCGCCCAAAATAGAAGTGAAACTACGCCTATGTATTTTATATGCTTTTTGTTATTATTCTGTACCTGCTAGTTTAAACAAAACATTCTCATCCATTCTCCCATCATTTCCTTTTTATTTTACAAGGGGTTTGTGTGTGTCTGTACCATCTCCTAAAAATGTGTTTATGCAGTTACTTTAAAACTCTGTTTTTGTACTATCCTCCCAGGTTTAAAACGTGCTTAATTGGTTAACTAATACCTAGTGTGTTCTATTCTGCCAAGGCCAGGCCTACTCTAGTTCACAGCCTTTGGTTCATACTGTTAGTTATGCCTAGGGCTCCAGCAAGGCCTATAGGAGGCATTGACTGTATTTCCCATATCTGGCCCTGTAGTGCAATGGCACAGAGGCTAAGTAAAAGCTTTACCAACCCTACAGGCCTGGGTTCAAGACCTGTGTAATCTGATACCACTGCCCTGTCTCAGGATGGTCCCTGTGGAAGGCCTGTACTTTTGCAGAGGCATGCATGTGATGAGCTGGCTCCCAAGAGCATTCTTCAGGCCCATAGCCCCCCCAGATCAGATACTACAGGCATTTGTGAATCCAGGGTGTTGCATACTATGTACTTTTCATGGTCTCAGACTTGAACCTGGAGTGGAGGTGTTGCACACCAGCAGGGGAAAGGATGGTCAAGGAAAGAATTCAGGAGGGAGACATGGAATACTGGATGGATCTTCCAAGATCTAAGGAGCTGTAATTCAAACGCCACCAGATTGATCTACCGAGTCATGAAGAAAGGCCCTGCATATTGATCATCTTATCCAATTTATGCAAAGGTCGGTTGGCATTCAGGTATTTTGTGGACAGCCACACTTTCTGGCCTACTTCTATAGGCAGGGCTTCTTGGCAGTGTTTGTCAGCATGGTGTCTGTAAGCCATCTTTGCTGCTTCCAAGTGCTCTTTTAGCTTGGCTTGAGTTTCATGAATGGCCTGTACAAGACTGAAGGCAACAGGAACTGTTGTGGGTGGGGGAGCGGAGGAGTAGAAGCGTGGATTAAAAGCACACTAGAAGGGACTGGATCAGACTGAGACATGTTTTGCATTGTTATAAGTGAATTCAGCAAGCAGAAGTAATGCAGTCCAGTTATTTTGACAGTCGCTCAGAAGCAGTACAGGTTCGAGCTGTTTGAGCTCCTGGTTGATGCACTGCGACCAGCTGTCCAACTGGGGGTGATGGGCGGTGGATGCATGGGGCTTGACATCTTGAATACAAAACCTGGATATAAACTGGGAGCCACAGTCCATTGTAAGATGGCTGGGAAAGCCATGAAGGTAGAACATGTGTGTAATTAGAAGGCATGCGGTAGTTTCCGCAGTCAGGAGACACACGCATGGTACAAAATGGGCCATTTTGGTGAGTTGGTCCATGATAGTCAGTATTGTGTTATGCCCTTCAGATTCGGGTAGTTCCGATATAAAAAAAAATGAAAAACAAAAGGCCATAATAGCTGCCAACTTTAATGGAGCTCAGAGACAACTCTGTCTTTTGCAGTTCTAGGATGTAATCAAGTATATCTGAAAGCAGAGTGGACACAGGTGAAAGATGTCTTAGATCACACCAGTGGCTGAATCTCATCCACTTCTGCAGGTAATTATTACAAGTGGACTGTTTTCTATGTAATACTCTTCTTACTTCTTCAGAACAGGCTGTTTCTTGAAGAACCCCAAGGCTGGGATGAAGACTTTGACCACCGTCCTGAGAGAGAAGATGAGGGACAGACTGTAAGGTGATCAGTTGACAGTGAGCTGGATGAGGTAAGGGAAGCATGTCTGTTTTGGCCATGTGGGGACCACCAAAAGAACCCTGTCCTTGTCCTTTCTTATTTTGATCAGCTCCCTGCAGATCAGAGGAGTTGGAGGGAATGCATACAGGAGACCTTAGCGCCTAGGAAGGAGAAAGGCATCTCCCAAGGAGCAGTGACCCATTCCTCCTCTTGAGCAGAACTGGAAGCATTTCTTGGTTTTGGCCATGGCAAATAGGTCTATTTCTGGGAAGCCCCAACATCAAAATATATGGCAGAGTAAAGGGATCTATCTCCGATTCGTGATCCTGTGTGAAGCACCTACTCAGCATGTCTGTGGTGATGTTTTGCATGCCCGAAAGATAAGCTGTTGAGACGCTGATATGATTTTGAATGCACCAATTTCAGTCTTACTGCTTTGGAGCAGAGGGAGAGCAACCTCGCAGCTCTGACAGTTGATACAAACATGCATGACATGTCGTGATCCTCATGCTTAGCAGCAGTCCATGATTAGCAGCAGAAAATGGAAACAGGCATTCCTGACTGCCATGAGTTCCAGGAGGTTTATGGGTAAAGTAGTCTCAAGAGGTGACCACCTGCCTTAAGAAGTCAGAGTGCCTAGATGGGTTCCCCATCCCAGTAGGCATGCATCTATCATTAGTAGTAACATTAGAGAAGGTTGAGCAAAGGGTATCCCCCTGTGCAGATGTTGTGAGGGTCCTTCAACCAGTTGAGAGATCTTTTCACACCCACAGGCGTCAAGACTAGTTTATTCAAACTCTGTTTGTTCAGCAAATAAACAGTTCTTAGCCGCCCTGGGAGGCAACGCATGTGAAGTCTTGCATGTTATAAAACTACCAGTTGCTCTATGGCCCAACAGCTGGAGACAATTTCCCATGGATATTTGGGGGCTGATCTGGACTGTAGTGACTAAATTGGCTAGGGCTGCGAACCTCTGCAAAGGGAGGTATGCCTTGGCTGGTACCAAGGTAAGCTCCTATGAACGCCAAACTTTGCACTAAGGTTAAGGTGGACTTTTGTATGTTTAATAGTAATCCCAATTGCTGCTGCAAGAGTTACCATCTTGAACTTCTGAATATTTACAAATCTGTTGAGTAATCTTAGATCTAAAATGGGTGTCCATCTGCTGTTCTTTTTCGGAACCTGAAAAGTACTTGGAATAAAAATCCTTCCCTC